TTTAATACGAGTCGGAAGAGTGGAGGGAAACAAATTAACAGGCTTTCTATATTACCTGAACCTTGCTCTTCCATTTTCAGCGCTATTTGTTTGCACCGGGTAATGCTAGGTAATTTCTTCTAGTTATAACTGAAAGCTAGAATGTTTCAAATAGCAAAGTCGAAAGTGAGCTATTTGAGATTATCTACAAGCATTTCTTTTTAGCCGAGCATTCGAACCATGTTTGCCTACAATTTCAGCAAATTTTATTCGATTCAGTATATGCTGAGTTATTTTTTTTGGTTATAAGCGAAGCCTTTAACATTCTTTACAGCCCAGTCGACAATGTGCTGTTGATGATTCTCTACAAGTTGTATTCCTGTCGAGTATTCGAATCATGACTTAGTTGATTGCAAGCCTAAATCACAACGGGAACTCAGCCACTGAGAACTGTAAGAACTTCTGCCTTATAAGTTGGGCATCAAGTACAATCTAGCAATCTGTGGAGATCTCTCAAACTGGCAGCTGTTAAAAGTTTCCAGCTTCCATTCAGCAAGCAGACAAATGTGTTATCTTTACGATGCACTGCTCCATTTAAATTAGATAATGTTATGGGCCATGCTCTGCCCCGAGTTCGGCCAGATCAGACACAAAAGCCGCCAGATCAATATCCATATCGATTCCCCGTCTTCCAGCTACCAGCCAATTAGCCGCTGCGCGTGCAGAACACACACGTAGCCCGCTTTCAGCCTCCAGCCCACAGCTGTATATATTTATGTTTATATATATATATATATATGTGTCTATGTCATTTGGGTATATGATTCAGGCGAAGAGTCGTTAATTCGTTTGATGCCAAATGAATTGACGTTGACGCCAGACGCTATATCATCGATAAGAAGTGGAGAAAGAGAGACCCACAAGATATTGTGAAAATCAAAAGTTTCACAGCTCCAACTACAAAAGTGTTAATGTCTGTCACTTAAGTAAGAGACCCGATCTGGCCCTTCCCCCCTTTGACATGAAGCTTTATCAGAAATTCAACTTCAAACTCCAATTTGCATACAAATTAAAGCCGAGCCACTCAGAAATGTATTTTTTTTTTAAAAGAGTTTTCGGTTCGTGTTTTATTAAGTTTCCAATTTTTGTGTTTCGGTTTTTTTTGTTGACCACAAAAAAAGAGCCGCATAAAAAGTCCCCCTCAAAATGCAGCCAAGGGGCAAACAGCTACCGATTTTATTATTGATAATGTTTTGATTTATCACAAAGGGTTTAAAAATATTAACCGAGCCGGAGACCGAGTGTCTCTTCTGCCCGTTTTTCATCTTTTCTTTCTTCTGGACAAACTTTGTGTTCCTCTCGCTGCGAGCCAATTATTTGAATGCGGTCAGCGGCAGCAGCAACTACTTTGTTGATGTCACTTAAGTTTGATTTTTGCGGCTTTTCGGCTCCACTTGAGCCAGTAAATCCAATAAAAAACACTCGAAGAAATCGCGGCTCTAAATACAACTCGGGCTTGAATAATCGTAGCCTAGCCTAAAGATTCGATTCATACAACACATCTGTGAGCCCAGAATATATTTCAAGTGTAGACTCTTGTATATATACAAAATGTATCCCTCAGTATATACACCCTTTGGTCATAAGGGACTATAAACTCCAAAGTTAATCAAGAATGCATTACCAGCATTTAAGTACAAAATACTCGACATTTTCTCTGAGTGCACGATCCACTTGTAATTGCTATAGAATTGTCCTAGGATACTCGACTTCTTCTCTGATATAGTCGACTTTTTTTTTAAGTGTACGATCGCCTAGTAATTAGCATAGAAATTTTATAAAATACTCGACTTTCTCTAATATGCCAGACTTTTTTCTCAGTGACGATCGACTAGTAATTATTATAGAAATGTTTTTGAATACACGATCAGCTAATCACTGCTATAGAAATCTTCTATAATACTAGACTGTTTCTCTAATAGACTAGACCTTTTCTCTGAGTGTACGATCAGCTAGTAATTGCTATAGACATGTTCTGTTGCCTGACACAAAACGCTTTCGTTTTGTGGTCAAAATCTGCATAATTGTTTGCCAAAATGTTGACAGCTGCAGGTGTTGCAGACTCTCTCCCCCCCTCACTCTTTTTCTCTCTCTCTCTCTATCAGTCCCTCTCTCTCTCAGTCTTTCTCTCTGTCAACCAGTGTGACCAAAGCTGAGAACTGATCGCTGTTCTAGAGCCCGGCACTCATAAGCGCATTCGTCACAGACTTTTGGGCACAGCTGAGAATCGCGCTGTTCGAGCTGTTCATTTAAATGGCATGCGGCATTTTGGGCATTTGCCACAAAATGTGGCACACAACTTCATCACCAGGAGCCGCAAGCAGAGTCACAGGCGCAGTCGCAGTCACAGCTAAACAAAAGGCGACATTAATGCATTGCCGGCAGCCGAGACCGCCCGAAGGGGCGTGACGAAATTCGTGACAACAGCAACAACAATGCCAATGACTTTATTACCAAGTGACACTCGTGGCTGTAGCCTACCTCCCCTTCGTCCCCTCCCTCTAAACCTCACACCTCTCGAACCATAAACGTTGATATTGTATACAAATACTCGCCCGGAGAGCACTCGTTCCCTGGGGGACTCGCCCGGGTCTGCCAGCTGTACCCTCTACGGCACCTCTCCGTCCCCTTTTTGTCCCTCTGTCGGTTGCGACAATAAACACTTCAGCTATTTATGAGGTTTTAATGAACACACTCTGCGGCCATCTTGTGCTGACTAATGAAAAGGATACCGATACATGCATTTGGCTTATGAATTTGCACAAATTTTTCAGAGGCGTGTCAAATCGGGGCAAGTCGGGGCTAGGCTAGGGGCGCGTCGCGCTAATTATGATTGACAGGGCGTGTCGCGTCTATTGAGGCGCCCAATTAAGTCGCATTTTGAAATTGATTTCGAATATACATATCTAGATATATCTACATATACATATATATGACAACAGCTGAAGGGCGCGTTGCTATGCGGTAACTTTCCTAAATTGAACCAAACACAACAACAACAACAAGGACAACAACAAGGACAACATTTAAGTCAAGTGCAGGCATTAATCAAGCCACAGACAGCCATCTTGAAGCAAAAGGAAAAAGGAAACGGCAAATGCCAAGCAACGGCATTGAAAGATAACAACCAGGCGAAACAATGAAGCAGAAATCGTCGCACTTTTGATGCCCTATTAGCCTAGTCAGAATATCCTATGAAATGTGAGAAAATATATTTATGTAAATTTCTATTTTGAAATCAAACGGAACTTATAATCAAGAAAGGGATAAATGTCAGTCTATACACTCTATACGAACTTCAAATCCAAATAGATGAGCATAACATGAAGAGTTCTATATGTATATTGTATATAAACTCAGAGAAAAAAAAAATTGTATATTCTTCTATGATTTTTTACAAGAATTTGCACACTTAACATAAACCAAAAGCGTTGTCAGTAGAAATCGCTTGATTTTTCCCATGACTCAGATTTTTCTCGAAGTGCACTCGTTCTTATTGGAACTCGTAGAGTGCGGCAAGGTTTGGGACATAGCCAAGGTATGTTTACTTGAGAAGGGCATAAAATGTATTATCGATTCCGGTTCAACAGTTGCATCATTTCACTTAGCTAAGTCCACGAGGAGAGGGTGGGTGCAAGGCAGGGAGGGGAAGATGGGGGGCGCATTGCAGTTAAATAGACATTTGCATGCAAAAGATATGTCGGAAAAAACCAGGACAAACAACGAAGCAAAAATTGAATAAAACACAAACACTTACATACACACATACATGAAGAAGCGAGCACACACACATGACGTATGTATGTATATGTAACAGTGCAAAAGCTGAGCAAAAGACAAATGTGATTTACTGCAATCAATTTAAATGCAATGCAACAAGGGCCTGGCGTGGCGAGTGGGCCAAGGGAGGGAGGGCAGCCAGTGTGGCAATGACAAAGGCAGAAGAAGAGCTGGCGAAGAGCAAGAGAATGTGTGCCAAAGCAAAATATACGAATGCACACTCACAAACACACATATCTATGTACATGTGTATACATGCATATATATTTGTACTTCGACATAAGAACGAGAATGGGGCTATGACAACGACGCCGACAGCGACATCGACGTCGACGTCGACGGCGACACCTTCCCAAAGCTGATTTTAAAGACTTTTGCGCAAATTGCCGCAGTCAGCGAATACATCAGCGGCGAAAATAGGCGCTCACACAAAGGCGAAAAGGCGAAAAGAAAAACAAAACGGTACAAGCGCAGAGGCTGAAACTAGACATCATTATTGATGACAATTGAGTGCGCCAGCGAACAGCTGGACAGGAGTTAACGAAAAAGGAGAAGAGGAGCGCGAGTGCGTGTGCGTGTGCGTGTGCGAAGAGCGGAGAGTGAAGAGTGGAGAGCGAGTAAAGAGGACAGAAACTGCAGCAGCAGCAGCAATTACGATAATTAACACAGTCAGCCGCGCGGAAAGGCAGCCCGACACCAAAACGCACAAGAATGAGCAAAAGAGAAAGAGGGCGAGCGAGAGAGTGAGTCAACGTGGTGAGTCGGGGCGTAAAGGGTAAATGTGTGAGCGAGAGCTTCGAACAAGCGCATGTCAAATTGTTCAAATTGATGACGTTCGCACGTTGACAGCCCCATTGAGCTAATGCGAGAGTATGTGTGTGTGTGTGAGTGAGAGAGCGGGTAGTGAGCGCATGCCGCACGCTGATTGGCCAGCTCAAAGCACGCCTCTGTTTGGCAACAATTCCAATTAGAAGCAGAAGAACTGCGCAGCTGCAGCTGTGACGTCATCGAACACAAACTCGTTTGGCTTTTGTTCGCTCCAAACTGGTTGTTGGCAGCGAGGGGATAGGGGGCAGGGGCCAGGCAGCGCCAAGAAACGAGAGCGAGAGAGAGCGAGAGAGTGAGATAGAGGGAGAGCACACTCAGCCAAAACCATTTTCAGCGAGACGAGAGCCGAGCCGCAACGGCTGCCGCTCGCGTTGCTGTGTTGAATGTGGAACGTTGCACGTTCGCAGTCGCTGTCGCTGTTGTTGCCGTTGTGCGCGTATTTGCCGACGCGTTTTTGGCCCGAATCGAACATTTCCAAATGTGTAAAATGTGCACCACAAATTAAAGAACTAAACGGTGATATTATACCTTAGAACTTGATTGAAGCTAATTAAAATGCCGCAACGCACGCCGAGTCCCGTCGCCATGAGCGCCACACGCAGCTGCAGCAGTCCGGCTGTATCCGAGATTTCCGTGGGCTCGCCCAGTCCGCCGCCGCTGCCGCTTAACATGAAACGCCTGCGTATGCTGCGAAGTCCGGCGACCATACGCAAGTGCAGCCAGCCGGGCGCCGGCGAGCGCATCAAAAGCTTCTCCATAGCCGATATACTGGGCCGGGCGGATGAGGAGCGCCCGGCTGTGGCGCCCACAGAGCGCCTGCAGGCGCCACAGCCCGTGGTGGCCACAGCGGCGCCGGCCATGCTGCATCCGGGACTGCATCCGTTTCTGCCGCCGGCGCTGCTGCACAGCTATGAGCAGCGCCTGGCGTGGGACTATCAGCGCCAGCTGCAGGAGCACTTCCAGGCGCAGCTGCTGCGCCAGATGAGCCTGGATCCCGCCAGAATACCCATACCCTCCGAGGATGGCAGCTCCGAGGAGCGCTCGCAGCGCTCCAGCAGCAGCAATGGCAGCACCGACTGCTGCACGCCCCGCCAAGGCCAGGCCAAGCCAGAAGAAAAATCAAAGCAAATAGTTGCCCAGAATTCCGATCCCGGCCAGAAACCAGCAGCGGGCGCCGATACGCCGCTCGATGCGCTCTTTCAGCTATCGACCAAAAACTTTGACGAGGAGCAGGGTAAGTGTTGCCCCAACTCTGGTTGCAACCAGTGTTGCCGCAACCGCAAGTAAATTACATTTTAATATAAACTGACTCGCTATTGGAGCATCTCGGTAGCTCCACAGCTCAGCAGCTCATCAGACATTAACTCGACTCTCAGCTTGATCAATTGCTATACTCTAAAGCCATTGAAAATGTGTGAATAGGGTATACGGGTTTTGTGTGAGCATATGTGACAGGCAGAAAAATGTATTTTCCATCTTATATCTCCATAGAATATCCCATATAATATCCCATCTTATATACCATCTTATATCCCTCTTATATACCATATCTCCCATAAAGTTTGTACCAGAAACTTAAAAATGTCTCTGCATATTTATGTAGAAATGTTTGTCAAGGCACTTTATCGTTTAGGTACAGTGCATCTGCTAGTCGTTCACTCCCTAGACTAGAGCACTCTTATTTGCTGCCTGATGAGATTCTGCTTAAAGCGTAAAAACAGTAGTTGAGGTCAGGCCAGAGCCGAGGTGGCTAAATCAATTTTAGCCATTAGCCGACACGGCTTCAGTTTCAGTTTTCAGTTTTCAGCTGTTTCCCCACACATTGATTGCCTCCAACTGATCTCTGATGGCATCGGCGCATGCGTATCGTTCGCCATAATTTGCTTAGCGGCGTTGATTTCTTGTTAAGCCGGACGGACGGGCGGACGGGCAGCCATACGGTCAGATAGAAAGAGTGACAGAGGGGGAGACAGGGACTTTGCAATCCATCAGCTCGTCCGCTGACTCAATTGTGTTGCATAAAGAAGAAGAAGCAAAAAGCGGCTACTGAAATTGAATTTACGCGCCGCACGTAGCAGCCACAATTTGTGGCATCCACAACTGATCCAACTGCGATCCGAACAGCTACTGGCATTGACTCCTCGGCCGCAATATGATTGCGCTTACGACTCTGTTTATGATTGTGATTACGAATCTGATTATGTTGATGATTCTCCCTCTGATTATGCAGTCCACGTTTTTTTTTTTTTTTTTTTTTTTTTTGAAGGGGGGCGCCGCCACGTTTCGCAAACTGATTTTCCCAGGGCAGCCCAGGCCATCCGGTTGGCCAACAATCTTGGCTAATAGAAGCCTGATCAAAAGGCGCAGCTCGTGAGCATTGCGCACTTCCGTTCCAGCGCAGTCGGGCGGTAATTAGCAGGCTGTTCCTCCAGCTAAATAAGCCTCATAACGACAAAACTGTACACAAATAATAATTACAAAAATGACAGAAATGGGAGAAAATGGGGAGAAGTTGTTGTAAAAATGGCTGAAAAGTTGTTGCGATTTCAGACAATGCAATTGTCGTTAGGGCTCGTCAATTATGAGCCCAAAATAATACTTAATAATGGCCGAGGCACGGGCTGCTTCTTGATAAAACGCCAAGACAATTGGCACAGACAGTTAAAGTGAGGGAGGGGGAGAGGCGTGCAGCGGATGCAGCCCTAATTACAATTTAATTACTGAAAAACTTTTCCCACTTGACAAAAGGCAGCCGCAATGGCAGCCAAAGAAGCGACCCAGCCAAGCGTGAGCCACAAAACGCACAAAGCACAAATAAAACAACAACAACAACAACAGCAACAACTAAAACAACAACTCAAACAACTACAACATTAACAACAACAAAGAAAAGATCTTGAGTTGACAGTTGATTTGACAGATAGCAGTGTAAACATTTTACAACATGCGGGTTGCTGCTCTTCTGTGGCGGGTTGCGGGCTGCGGGCTGGGAGCGAGGCACTTGCAACAAATTAGTTCAACTAGACGTATACTTAATGCCCAGTCAAGAGGGTGCCAAAAAGCATATTAACTACAATATATACATATATACCAGAGAAAATCAACCGGCGTTGCCCAGCTCTAAAGCGCACCATCTTTAGACATATACTACAAGGCATTTAATTAAAGGAAACACGAGAAAGCAGGCCATCTTCTTCTATCACGCCTATGATTTAATACCCTTGCCTTCTTATAGTGCCCATAATATTTTGCCCGCATCGAATAAGAACAGGGAAAATAGTTAATGCCGAAATATATTGAAAAACAAAAAATTTTTCATACAACAACTTAATTATTCACCGAACGATCCTATGTCAATTATAAGATATAGTGATCCAATGTTGATAAGATTTTCCATTATTGTAGGGAACATAGTAAAAATTATAAATGGCAAGATTGCTCAAGATATCTTGAAAAACAAAAAACTTTTCCATACAAGAACTTAGTTTCTGACCGATCGTTCCTATGGCAGCTATATGATATAATTGCCTGACGTTGATATGATCTTGCAAATATGTAAGAAGCACAGTAAAACACAGTAAAAATGCCGAGTTTGGTCAAGATATCTTGAAAAAAAAAAAACTTTTCCATACAAGAACTTAATTTCCGACCGAACAAAAAACTTTATCAAACAATAACTTCAATTTCGACTTATCGTTCCTATGGCAGCGATAAAATATAGTGGCTTGATCCAGTCAGTTCCGACATCTGTGCTGCGTGCAACAGCAAGAGGGACTTATGCAAACTTTCATGACGACGCCTTTAAAACTGAGAGACTAGTTGTCTCTGGTGCTATATTTGAACCGGCGACCTCTCCTTTCTTAGTCCGACGCTCAAGCACTAGTGGGGCTATTGACCTTTTTCTCCCACTTGGTGCTCCAATTTTCGCAAACCTCGTCTCAGGAAGCTTCAGTAAACATCACCAGTCAGTCAACCAGTCAATCAATCAATCAAGTCAAACTCTTTAATGTATATAGAGATATAACATGCTCGACATAAATTTGTAATTAGATGGCGAATGCAAACGTGTCGAGCTGCTGCTGCGTTTGCTAAGTGCCATGCAAACTGGATTTTAACCAACATCGTTTAGAATATCATTTTCAGTCACGTCAGCAATTGGCAGGCCCAGCTAATGCCTGACTTAGAGCCAACTATGCCGGCTATCTATAGTCTATGGTATTCCATATTGACAGTTGACTGAGGAAAATTGCCTTCGGCTTTTTAGTTTCACACGTAACCAATACAAAACGCAGACAGGGTCATACAAGCGACATATATATGGTTGAATACACTGTCCAAAATTTCAATTTAAATTTAAAAAGAATAGTAAACAAATAAGTAGGTTAATAAAAGGCATCAAACTTTTGGCCACAATTTTAACTATGAGATTTCAAAATTTTAATTTCAATTTAAAAATAATTAAAAGTTAACCAAATTTCGTGCTGTGTAGAAACAAACAATAGACTTAAACAACGTGACATTCAAAATGGCGTGCGCTGATTATCGAACGCCCATCAAATGCCACGCCCATGTTGATGTTATGCACACAGAACATGAAGCTATGTCTACACACGGACATTAGCCCGATATATATCTGGCATATTAGTGGCAATTTGATTTATAATTCCGGTTGCATTATTTGCCCGCATTTCAGTATCTGATAAAAACCATGTGGATTGTCTCTAATTATTATGGAAATTGTGTGTAGTTTGGATAAGCTAATAAGCAGTTAGCGAGACCCAATAAAAGATCGATTCGATTGATAAGATTGTTAAATATAAACAGAGCATATATAATAAAAGAATGGTTCGATTGGCGGTTTGAACCAGCTATTTATCTGGGTTCCAGTTGTGAAGTTCGATTCGCGAGCCAGTTCTTTGTCTATAAGTTCCAATTGTGAAGCTTTTTCTTTAAATTCCATTTTTGAAGTTGCTTCGATTCGGGGCTTGAACCAGCTTTTTGCTTTAAGTTCCAGTTGTGAAGCTGGTTCGACTCATGGTTTGAGCCAGCTCTTTGTCTATAAGTTCCCGTTGTTAAACTGGTTCGATCGGCGGTTTGAGCCAGCTCTTTATCTATAGGTTCTATCTATGAAGCTGGTTTAGTTCGCTTTCTTTTACAGTTTACTTTATATTAAAGAACGAATTGCAGTTCCAGCTTCGATTCGCTCCGATTAAGAACAAAAACAATAACTATTTTTTTTTATTGAATAATTGATTGACTCTTCGATCAAGAACACTTTGGGATAATTATAAACAAATCGGATAAAAAACACTTGAGGGAATTGTCGTAAACAGCGCAACCTTCGAGTACAAATGCAATTTCATTCAATTTAAATGTTTAGCGTGAAAAGGTGAGCACATCACGAGGCGTTTTAGCCCATTGAATAATCATAAAATTGGCTGGCAAAAATCAACAGCAATTTCCAAGCATAAATCAAATCAAACAAAAAGAAAATCCAATAAACAGATGAAAACAAAAAAAAAAACACAAACAAAAAAAAAACAATTCATTTCGAATGATTAATAGCAGCGCAGCGTTTCAACAAAAATTTGTTAATGACATTAAAAAACGGCTAAAAACACAATAACAACAACAAAAGCAGCAACAAAAAGCTACCATAAAAATTACAAAGTAAAAACCGCGAATCGCTTGCGATTGCCTCAATAAAATTAATAAGATGACTGCAGGCGCAAAAAAAAAACATTATTAATAAAAGAGAGAATGTGTAGCTGCGGCACGCCGAAGTTTACATTCCCTACGGTCAAAATGCTGACTTTAGCTAAGAAAAACAAAAGGCTTTCCATGCAAAAACTATAATTGCTTGTTTGATAAATAAATATATAGATACACTAGAGTCGGAGTGAAAGTCAGAGTTAGGTCAAACGGCTGGTCGCTAGTTCAAATTCAGCAGCGATTTCTTTGATTTTATAGTTGATTTTTATATTATAGTTTTCACATTAAATCGAACAATACATTGATGTACTTACCTTCAATAGGTTCTTTTTGTCAAAAATCTTAAAACATTTGTATCGAAAAACACAGGAAACACACAAAAAAATTCACAATTAAGCACAGAAAAATAATTCAGAAAAAAATTTAAATAAATATTTATTTTATTTTATACAGCTTCTTTTAAAATCAAAAACCTTTGATCCAACACAATAAAACACAGAAAAAAAAATCACAGAAAAAAAT